TCTCTGTGCCGCACGCCCCGTGGCGTGCGGCAGTTTTTCTTCCCGCCGTGCGCCCCGAGGCGCGCGGCGGTTTTCTGCCCGCCGTGCGCCCCGAGGCGCGCGGCGGTTTTCTGCCCGCCGTGCGCCCCGAGGCGCGCGACGGGTTTCTGCCCCGTCACTCGGCGCGTCACCCCCGGGAGGCGCTACGACGGGCGACGGGGACCCGCGCGTCGCACCCCGTCGCCCTACCTACGGCCCCGGCCCCTTCGCCCCACCTGCGACCCCGGTCCCGTCGCCATACCAGCGGCCCCGGCCCTAGCCCCGTCGCCCTACCTGCGCCCCGGCCCCGTCGCCCTACCTGCGACCCCGGCCCCGTCGCCCCACCTCCGACCCCGGCCCCGTCGCCCTACCTGCGCCCCGGCCCCACCGCCCTACCTGCGTACCGGCCCCGTCGCCCTACCTACGGCCCGGCCCCGTCGCCCTACCTACGGCACGTGCACCCCCCCCCCCCCCTTTCCCCGTCTCCCGTCGCGGCTCCTGAGGGGGCCGTGACCTTGGGGGTGGCGGGTGTGTGGTCTCCCCTGCTCCTCCTCCTCCTCCGTCTCCTTGTGCTGCAGCTATCGCTGAGGGGGGGTGGACGTGTTGGAGCCGGTGGAGTGGTACTATGGGGGGGTGAAGGGGGAGTGGAGCTAGCGGTGTAGCAGTGGGTGTGTGCCAGGGGGAGTGGGATAGTTTGGGGAAGCTGAATGGAGGTTGCCGTCGTGTCGCCAGCAGCACCTGTATTCCGGGGACTTCGTCCGGTAGCCCAGCCGTAGCCAGCTGTGCCAGCCGCCCGTGGGTCCGTTGCTCGTCTGCCGCTACTTTAGCCGCGGGGCCAGCTACTCCAGTATTCCGGAGCGTTGTTCCGGTAGCCGCTGTGCCAGTGTGCCTCCTGTTGCCCGTGTGTCTGCAGCTTCATCCGTGGCCTCCTATCTCCTCTCCTCTCACTCTCTCTCCTCCTCCTCAGTTGCTCGTTGTGACTACCACTAGCTTTGCTCATAATTGTTCACTTTAAACTATTGCTTCTTGAACTTGTGCTCAGAATGTGTGGTGACATTGTGATCCACCCTGAGCTTGTACTGCTTTGCTTGCTCTGCTCATTACACCCCACTTTGGCTATGGGGGTGTGTCAGAATGTTATCTTATGCTCTAGCCTGTAGTGGGGTGCTCTATAGCGAGTACAACCCTTCTAGGGTTTTCTATTTGTATCCCCATTCTTGCTAGTGTAGTACTCTTCTCTCTTCTAACTTTCACATCGAGTACTGCATGTTGCTGACTGGACAGAGCCACGTCACCAACAGCGACACTCCAGAAGCGAAGGGGAGTGTTGGAAACAATCAAGCTTAAGCGCCTCTGTCGTGTCGAAACACCAAGGCACAAGCGAAGCGAAGCATATCGAGGCACCAGCGAGTCAACCCTCGAAGGTTGAAGTAACTGCTGGAGGTTACGCGAAAGGTCAGCGACCTTTGACCTGACAAGTACAGCGCGACAGCAAGGACACACAACTGACCCGCTATAGAGCATTTGCCCGAGTCGTCACTGTATCGAACCGCAACAGCAACAGTAAAGTAGTTATAACTGTATCTCTTCATATTCCTTGTACTCTTATATAATCATGTATCTCTTTGCTTTAATTAACTTACTTTGCCCTCACATACTAGCGCAAGGTGGTTCACAACTCTTCATTAAACGCTTCCGCTACTACATCAGTCCTACCCAGAGTTCACCCCTGCAAAGATCCTAAGGGCTTATTCTCAGCCCAACATGTGTAACTTGTGAATGATCAATCATCGGTTGGTACGGTGGATGTACGACTGTAGACCTTGGTAGTGCGATATCGTTGGAGAACATGTCATTATACGACAATACCATTGGGAATGATATATAGTTACAACATTTATTTTAATCTAGAAAGCCAGACCAGGCCAAGGTTATCATTGAGAGTACCTTGACACATGGAGGGCATAAATTCAAAACATTCAGGGCATGTAAAACATGTAGTACTCTGAAATATCAGGGTATAACATATACCAATACCTATGAAATTTGGATGTGCGGGCCTAGCCCAAGCTTGATGCATCAAGGGCAAGGTTTGGGCCCAAAGGATAGCATGCAGGTAGTATGTAGGGTGCCCAAGACGAATTAAAGGAAGAAGGTACCTTTGGTGTCGTGAGCTTTGATTTCGAAGTGTTTTCGTTGTATAGAGAAATATAATGTTGATTCGAAGTGGCCACACTCGGGGACACTAGTGTACGTGTCCAGTTTTACGCCCTGATGTATCGGGATCGGTCCCCGCGTTTGGATGCTTTTACTGTGGAGCCTGGCAGTGAACATGGTGGACCTCGTGGGTTCGGTGCCCAGCCCAGCCCACTGCTGTGGTTCAAATTTCCTTTCTACCCGGTCGGTGCTGAAAACATTATCGTACAATGTTTTTTGTTAGGGAACTTCGCTTATGGACAGTGGATTCCCGTTTCAGAACCTAACATTTTCGTCTCAATGCTTAACATCCTAACAAGAAAAGATTAGAAAAAAGCAGACCGGGCAGGGTAAGGACCCAGGTGTCCGTTGGCCGACACTGTACCCGTCCCGTGCCCCTTTCTACTTTCATCAACCTCGTCATCGTGATTGCTTCGAGCATAAAAAAACTTCCAATCCAAACACAGACACAGCAAGGGTCAACAGCAACAGCACTGCAACGTGCAAGTGAACCCGTGTCACAAACTATCACTAGATAGTAGTCATGTGCTGCAATGTCGACACGACAGTGTAACTCCTAGCTGCAGCTATGGCTCACGATTGCCACTTAAGCAACCCTAGACATCCATGGCGCCGGAAGCAGCGCTGCTGCAATTCTCGGTGCGACAACCGTGACCGAAATCAGCTTTGTCGCGAACCGTCTCCGTCTTTACAGCCTCGTCTCTCTGTGCTGCTACTCCTCCCGCTCCTCTCGCTCCTCTCGCCGCTCCTGCTCCGCGCGTCGGCCCTTTCCCCTCCTCTCTCGTCATCACACGCGAGTATACACTTAGAGTCCAAATGGAGAGCCGAGCGCCACATAGCAATGCGTGACGCTAACATCGCACAGGCTGGGATGTCCCAGCAGCAGCAGCAGCAGCCGCAGCCACAGCGGCGGCAGATGGTGATTGGCTGTCTCGTCAGCGCGGGCACTCCGGCGGGTGACCTGGTTACAGCTGGTGCGTAACGGCGGCTCGCGCGTCCTAGGCGGAGCCAAGCGCGCGGGTGAACCCGGCCGTGTTTGGCTTTCGATGCGCCGCTTCTGCTGAGTGAAAAGCGCGTGTGTTGAGCGAAAGGCGTGTGTGCTGAGTAGAAGGCGTGTGTGCTGAGTGGAAGGCGCGTGTGCTGAGTGGAAGGCGTGTGTGCTGAGTGGAAGGCGTGTGTGCTGAGTGGAAGGCGCGTGTGCTGAGTGGAAGGCGTGTGTGCTGAGTAGAAGGCGTGTGTGCTGAGTAGAAGGCGTGTGTGCTGAGTGGAAGGCGTGTGTGCTGAGTGGAAGGCGTGTGTGCTGAGTGGAAGGCGTGTGTGCTGAGTGGAAGGCGTGTGTGCTGAGTGGAAGGCGCGTGTGCTGAGTGGAAGGCGTGTGTGCTGAGTAGAAGGCGTGTGTGCTGAGTGGAAGGCGCGTGTGCTGAGTGGAAGGCGTGTGTGCTGAGTAGAAGGCGTGTGTGCTGAGTGGAAGGCGCGTGTGCTGAGTGGAAGGCGTGTGTGCTGAGTAGAAGGCGCGTGTGCTGAGTGGAAGGCGTGTGTGCTGAGTAGAAGGCGTGTGTGCTGAGTGGAAGGCGCGTGTGCTGAGTGGAAGGCGTGTGTGCTGAGTAGAAGGCGCGTGTGCTGAGTGGAAGGCGTGTGTGCTGAGTAGAAGGCGTGCCGCGTGTGTGCTGAGTGGAAGGCGCGTGCGCTGAGTGGAAGGCGTGTGTGCTGAGTAGAAGGCGTGTGTGCTGAGTGGAAGGCGCGTGTGCTGAGTGGAAGGCGTGTGTGCTGAGTGGAAGGCGTGTGTGCTGAGTGGAAGGCGCGTGTGCTGAGTGGAAGGCGTGTGTGCTGAGTAGAAGGCGTGTGTGCTGAGTAGAAGGCGTGTGTGCTGAGTGGAAGGCGTGTGTGCTGAGTGGAAGGCGTGTGTGCTGAGTGGAAGGCGTGTGTGCTGAGTGGAAGGCGTGTGTGCTGATTGGAAGGCGCGTGTGCTGAGTGGAAGGCGTGTGTGCTGAGTAGAAGGCGTGTGTGCTGAGTGGAAGGCGCGTGTGCTGAGTGGAAGGCGTGTGTGCTGAGTAGAAGGCGTGTGTGCTGAGTGGAAGGCGCGTGTGCTGAGTGGAAGGCGTGTGTGCTGAGTGGAAGGCGCGTGTGCTGAGTGGAAGGCGCGTGTGCTGAGTGCAAGGAGTGCCTTCCTTCCTCTAGCCAGCAAATGAGGCAGCGAGACGAGACTATGCATGGCATGGTAGCCGCAACGGCATGCACTTAGCCGATGCAAGGCCTCACATGAGAGTAGTGTCGAGTCGTCCGAAATCAAGGAAAAGAGAAACTTGCATACCATCGTGGCGGCAATGGCGTGTACTCTCCCCATGCATGGCCCCATAGGAGCAGTATTGCTGTGATGGGGATGCACGCATGCATGGACGCATGGATGCATGGACGCATGGATGCATGGACGCATGGATGCATGGATGGATGGATGGATGGATGCATGGATGGATGCATGGATGGATGCATGCATGGATGGATGGATGAATGTTAACTCATCGGTCCTTCTTCTTGCTCACCCCCGTGCACTCTACTCCCAATCTCGCCCCACCACCCCTCCTCCCACCCACCACCCTGGGCCCATGACTCAGCACCTCGCTGCCGACGTGCAGCACTTCCGCCCTCCCCTATAGCACACCCTGCGTCTCTCCTCCCTCGGTTCCCCAGCTCCCCAGCCCCCCAGCTCCCCAGCCCCCCAGCTCCCCAGCCCCCCCGCACTCTTCATCTGCTCTTCCTTGCCTCCCATGCAGAAGCGCTTTCTCCCCTCCACCACCTACCTCCTCATCCCTGTCCTGCCACCGCGTGTCATCCCGCTCCCTCCCTCCAACCCCCTTTCTCCCCTCGCGCACCCCTCTCCCTTCCCCCTTCCGCGCCACCCTCCCACCCCCCCCTTCTCCCCCCTTTTTCCCTCGTCCCCCCTTGGTGCGCGCAGCCATGGAGCTGGCGGTGGAGCATCTAACGCCCCCTGCGTCTCCCACGGTCATATCATCCCTCCCCCCCACCCCCCTTTCCCTCCTTCCCCGTCGCGCCCCCTCTCCCTCTAACCCCCCCGTCTCCCCCCGCGGCCGCCCATGGTGCGCGCAGCCATAGAGCTAACGGTGGAACATCTGACGCCCCCCAGGCGCAGTTTGAGTCGACTCAAATACCCCATCCTCCACGCTTCCTTTCCCCTCCCCTCCCACCCCCCCCCTCCCCCCCCGCCGTTCCTCCCACAGTGCACCGTGCGCGCAGCCATGGAGCTAGTGGTGGAGCATCTCACTCATGCACCTCCGCCCCCACTTCTTTCCCCCCCTCCCTCCCCCCCCCCCCCCCCCCCCAATGGTGCGCGCAGCCATGGAGCTAGCGGTGGAGCATCTCACGCCCCCCGCCTCCCCCGCGCCGCTGGCGCTTGACTTTGCCAACGCCAGCGCTGCTGACGCCTTCCAGGCCGAGGCTGCCGGTGAGCCGGGAGGGGGGGGGGGGGGGGGGGGATGGTGAGAAGCGGGGGCTGATGGGATGGGGGGGTCAGGGTGGTGAGGATAGTGTGTGGTGTGCTGTCTTGTCAGTCACCCACCTCCGCCTTGACTTCGCCATTGCCAGTGCTGCCGACGCCTTCCAGGCCGAGGCTGCCGGTGAGCGAACAGGGGGGCGATGGTGACTTTTGACTTTTGAGTTGACTCAAAAGTCACCTCGTTACAATTGCACCAAAGTCACCTTTTGAGTCGACTCAAAAGTCACCTCGTTACAATTGCACCAAAGTCACCTTTTGAGTCGACTCAAAAGTCACCTCGTTACAATTGCACCAAAGTCACCTTTTGAGTCGACTCAAAAGTGCCGACGCCTTCCAGGCCGAGGCTGTCGATGAGTGAACAGGGGGGCGATGGTGAGGGAGGGTGATGAGGGGACGGTGGTCACGGGAGGGTGGTGAGGGGAGGGTGGTGAGGGGAGGGTGGCCTCCCTTTACCTCCACCCACCTGTGCCCTCTCTCTCCCAGGTCCCTTCTGTTCATTCCGAATTAAATGTCGTCCCTCATTCCAAGCATCTTTCCTTCCGTAAAAAATCCACCTTTATGTTCCTTCTTCCCCCCTTAACCCTTCCCCTCCCCCTTTCCTTTCACTCCCCCCTTCCCTTCCCCTTCCCCCTTCCCTCTCCCTCCCCTTTTCCCCTGTCCTCCGTTCCGCTCCGCCCCTCTCCGCCCGAATCCCAATCGCAGCGTTGGATCTGCTACTGGGGACGCCACCCCCCTCGGTGCTGCTGGGCCCATCCACGTCCCTGCAGACCTCCGTTGTGGGCCCCATCGCCTCCGTCATGCAGGCACGCCGCTCACTGCCTTGCTCCCTTCCTTGCGCACTCGTTCGCTTGCTCGCCGTGTGACATTGTAGCGAATTGAAGTCACCTCCGTTGTGGGCCCCATCGCCTCCGCCATGCAGGCACGCCGCTCGCTTCCTCTCTCCCTTTCCTGCTCGCTTGATGCTCACCACCGTTCAGGCACGTTGCTCGCCCTGATTGCCGCCTATTATAGGGGGCGGCAGACCGGCCTCCCACGTACATGGGATGCCTATAGGAACGTAATCACCGGACCACACCGGACTGCGGCGCACTGGTGGTGGCTCATACGGCAAGTATCCATTTCGCCGTTATCTCCTTGCTCTCCTCGCCTGAAGTCGTCTCCTCCGTTTGTTCCCACTCCCACTTACAGTCCCATGCTCAGCTCAGCTCCTACCCACGCACCCTGTCCCGCCTCTCACTGCGCCACCCCCTCACCCCTTCCTCTCTCCTTCTCATCCCCCATGGCGCGCCCTTCAGGCACCGATGCTAGCACACATGGCATCGGACTCGACCCACTGCTGAGAGGCCCCGCTCCCACCCATGCCCGATTGTGGCCCCCTCCCTCCGGTGCCGTTAAAAAAAAAAAAAAGCAAGGCAATGGACACGCTGCTGAGAGGTTCAACTCCCGCCCCAACGCCCCTATACATATCCTCAACTTCTCACTCGTCTCGTCCCACCCTCTTGGTGCCCCCTGCAGGTGCCGATGCTAGCGTATGCTGCAACGGACCCGCTGCTGAACGCGAACGCGCAGCTGCCCTACTTTGTGCGCGTGCACTACGATGACTATGCCCAGATGGCCGTCGTTGCTGGTGAGTCGGCTCAAATGGCACAACGGGCCCTTCTCTGCTGAATTAACGCCAACGTGCAGCTGCTGTATCTGTGCGCGTGCGCTACGATGACTATGCTCAAATGGCTGTTGTTGCTGGTGAGTCGGCTCATAAGTCTCCTCGCTACCACAATGGCACACGGGCCCACTGCTGCAGCTGAATGCCAATGCGCAGCTGCCCTACTTTGTGCGCGTGCACTACGACGACTACACTCAGATGGCCGTCGTTGCCGGTGCGTGCACACCTGCCACGCCAGCCAGCCAGCCAGCCAGAGCACTGCATTAGCTCTTGTTTTTTCATGATTCCCGTGCTGCCTGCCCACCTCTTCCCCCTCCCCACCAGTCCCCTTCTTCCTTCCCCCACCCCCTGCCTCCTCCTCGACTCCTATGCTTGTGGATTCGTCCCTGTTCCCCTAGCCAAGTGCTTCTTGAGCGTTGTGACCCCATTGGGAGAATCGCTTCTCATCGCTGTAGGGTCGACTCCACTCCACTCAGTTGTTATCACCCTATTGCTCTCACACGCCCTCTTACCTCTCGTGGTGCGGGCTGAAAACATAACCATGCCACATGGCATTGCGTGTCACACGGCATTGCGTGTCACATGGCATGGCATGGCATGGCATGCGTCTCATGGTATGGTATGGGATTTCACTGGCATGGCATATGTCACGGCACGGGCATGAATCAGATCTGGTGGGGTTCTACAACTGGACGCAAGTGGTGGCGCTCTTTGAGAGCACTGACAGCGCATGGAACGGCTTCCAGTCCCTCACTCGCCTGCTGCAACAGCGGGTCAGTCATGGTCATCCCACTCCCCCCCTCTCTTCCCCCCCCACCACCATGGTTACCACCATTGCCATGCCACTTATCACCCCTTCCAGTCAGTCACCATCATCACTATCACCCCTCGATTTTTCTCCCCACCTCATCTCTCCGGTACCATCTCCCCTGATTCCCACTTCTCCTGACCTGGCTCATCTCTTCTCAAACCCCTCGCCCATCCCCCATTTTTCCACCCCCTCTCTCCCCCCCTTCCTCAGTGCACGGCACGAGTGGTGGCGTCGTGGCAGTTTGTCAGCGCAGTGAGCGCCACCGAGACAGACGTGATTGCAGCATTCCTACTTGGACGACCAGTCATCCTCCTCTCTCTCATCCCCACCCTCTCATCTCCCCCCACGTCCCTCGTACCCCACTCCCCACCTCCCCTTCCCCCACGGCCCCGCCTTCTCAACCCTCTTCCCCACTTGCAGGGCACGGCATGGTGGTGGCGTCGTGGCAGTTTGACAGCGCAGTGAGCGCCGAGACGGACGTGATGGCGGCGAACTTCCCCTCTCACCTCCCCCATTGCTTCTCCCCCATCCCATCTCCCCCGTCTCTCTCCCCCTTCCTCAGGGCACGGCATGGTGGTGGCGTCGTGGCAGTTTGACAGCGCAGTGAGCGCCGAGACGGACGTGATGGCGGCAAAATTCCCCTCTCACCTCCCCCATTGCTTCTCCCCCATCCCATCCCATCTCCCCCGTCTCTCCCCCCCTTCCTCAGGGCACGGCACGGGTGGTGGCGTCGTGGCAGTTTGACAGCGCAGTGAGCGCGGAGACGGACGTGATGGCAGCATTCCTGCAGGTGCGGGCAGTGGAGGCGTCGGTGTTCGTGCTGCACCTGCACAGCCCCACCACCATCCGTATCGTTCTAAAGACAGGTGCGTGCTGCCCTGCTTTGCTCACACATGGACACACACATGCACACACACATGCACACACATGCACACACACATGCACATGGACACGGACACGCGCACGCACACGCACACGCTCAAAAGCGGGCAGTGGAGGCGTCAGTGTTCGTGCTGCTCCTGCACAGCCCCATCACCATCCGTATCGTCCTCAAAAGAGAACAGGTGCGCTTCCCTGCCCCGCCCTGCCCTGCCCTGCCCTGCCCTGCCCCGACACACGCATGCGCATGTGCACGTGCATGTTGGTTGGCAGTCTGCCTGCCTACATGCGTACACACACATGCACATGCATTCGCACACGCACATGCACCCACGGGAGAATTGTGCTTTCGGTATAGAAGGGAAAGTTTCTTCGCCTTTTCATGCTTGCTTTGGTTTCTTTTTTCTCTTGTGTTCTCTACGTCTTTCATACCTTCGTAACATGGCACTCTTTGGTTTTATGTTTTTCCTTCCTAATCCCTACTCCGGCTTTCTCTCTTTCCCAACCCTGGTTTTCTCTCCTTCCAGTCCCCTTCCCTTCCCCTTCCCCTTCCCCTCCCCCCTCTCTTTCCCCCCTTTACCCTTGCCGTCCCTCGTGCATACAACCACTCCACACCCACACTCCCACCCCAACCCTCACCCCTACTCTCAACCCCTCCCTCACCCCCACCCCCACCCCCAACCCCGCTCTCACCCACATCTCACCTGCGTATGCGCACTGGCAGCGGCGCAGCTGGGGCTGTTCACGGCGGGGTACGTGTGGATCGCCACTGCGGGCGTCATGTCTGTTCTCTCCACTGACCGCGCTCTCTCCCCCATCCTCGTCGGCTGTGAGGTGTGCGGGGGGTAGGGGGAGAAGGGGAGGGCAGGGGCAAGAGGGTAGGGAGGCGAGGGTGGGCGAAGGAAGAGGTGGAAGGGAAGGGAGGCAAGGGAGGGGAGGGATTCGTGAATGAGGGGTTAAGGTGCGGCCCCAGCTGAGACATTCACCCTCTGCTCCCTCTCTTCTCCCTCGCCCTTCACACTCCCTGCCGACTATTTCCCCACTCTCCCTGTCTCTCCTTCCCTCCTCCCTCCCCCCCAACACCCGCTGTGCACAGGGCATGCTGGGCACGCTACCGTTTGACGTGCCCACAGCACGACTGGCGGACGTGCAGCAGGCCATCAAGGCCAGGGCCAACACAGCGCTCGCCACCCTACAGGTGCGTGCCTCCTGGAGTTACGGGTTGGAAGTGACAGGAGTGCCTTCAAGGCCAAGGTTAACAGATTCTGCCGTGCTGTGCAGCAGCCTGTTAGTTAGACCCTGGGCTAGCTCATTGCTTGCTTGCTTCCCTGCTGGTGCATGCTTCTTGGGGAAGAGAGGTAGGTAGGCTCAGTGAGGGCGAATGGAAGAGGAAAGGAGGGGATTCTTCTTTTCTTCCTCCCCCCCAACCTCCCAGCCACCCCCTTCCCGCCTCCTCCTCTACTCCTGCCGGTCTCCCTCAATCCCCACGTGAGCCCTCAGCCATGCGACCTACGCCTATGATGCCCCTCACCTCCTCACCCATGCCACCTTCCCCAAGTCTCTTGCCACACAACCCCCATGTACTTCAACCCCACCTTCTTTCCCGTCCCCCACCCCACCCCCTCCCCCCATCCCCTGTACAACTTGCCCATCCCTCCTCCAGTCCCCAGACAAGGCACTCCGGCAAGCCGTTGCAGCCTATGACTCCGTGCACCTCGCTGCTGCTGCTGCTGCTGCTGCTGCCTATGCTGCCTTCCCAACTTTCATGGCACACTTCCCTCCTCTCCTCTGCTCCACATCCTTGCCTGTCCTCCCCTCACTCCCCCAGTCCCCAGACGAGGGACTGCGGCAGGCCATATCGGCCTATGACTCCGTGCACCTCGCTGTTTATGCTCCCACCCTAAACCACCTTACCTTCTCTACCCTTCCCCCCCGATACAAACACCCCAGTCCCCAGACGAGGCACTGCGGCAGGCCATATCAGCCTATGACGCCGTGCATCTCGCTGCCTATGCCGCAGTTGCTCTCTCCCGCGCCCCCCCGCCCCCTCCCGCGCCCTCTCCTCCCCCTGGTGCTGCGCCCTCGCCCCCTCCCAGCCCCGTGGCTGGCACCAACCCCAGCTTCCAGCAGCTGGAGGTGCATAAAGGTGCGTGCAGGTGCATGCAGGTGCGTGCATGGCACGGTCTGTTTTTTGGTCGACTAAAAAACAGCCCCCTCCCAGCCCCATGTCTGGCTGGCACCAAACCCAGCTTCCAGCAGCTGGGGGTGCGTGCAGGTGCGTGCACAGCATGGTGCCCGTGGATTTTGGTTTAAAGGTTACTTTCAGCAGCTGCAGGTGCGTGCAGGTGCCTCGTGGGTTAAGGGTGTGGTGCGTGCTTATGACTCGACTCAAAAGTCATTCAGGTGCGTGCATGGTGCCTTCAAGAATGGCAGTAGGTTTGTGTTGTGGGTTCATGGTGGGTGGAGTGGAGGGTTCCTGCATGTACAAAGTAGGGTTTTTGATTTAAGATGAAACGTGGATTCTTTCTCATGCTGTGCTGCCTGCTGCTGTTCACAAAGTTCTATGTGTATGAACGTGTGAGTGTGTGTATGTGTGCATGTGTGTCTGCGTGTGCGCATGGCATGGGTGTGAGCAGGCGGGGATGCATTGCTGGCCTCCATCCTCAAGAGCAACATGACAGGACTCCTGGGAGAGTAAGTGCAGTGCAGCACTTTGCCAGTCTGGCTTTGGAATCGACAAAAAAAATTCCTAATAGAAGCAACATGGCAGGGTATTCTGGACTGTACGTGTAGCACTCTGCCAGTCCGGTCATGCACCCACCCCCCCCCACCGTGTGTCACATGGAGTCTGACCTGACCCTATCCAACCCAGCTGAATCCCCTACTAATCACATTCCCTCGCTGCCTCGCACCTCATCCCTCATGCTGAATGCCTGTCCCCTGGTATTGCATACCTCCAGAGCAGTTTGTTCTTTCCTCCCTCCTCCCTCCCTCCTCCCTCCCTCCCTCCCTCCCTTCTCCCCTCTTCCCCCCCACCCCCCTCCGCCAGGGTGTCATTCACGACAGGGGGCGACCTACAGGAGCAGTTCTTCTTCCGTTGAGCCGCCTCACAAACAATCCATCCCTTCCTTCTCTCCCCTTCCCCAACCCCACCCCCACCAGGGTGTCATTCACGACAGGCGGCGACCTACAGGAGCAGTTCTTCCGAGTGGCTAATGTGCTGCGTCATGGCCTCCGCACCATCGCCTTCTACCACTACCGCGCCCCCCCGCCTCCCCCTCCCCCCTCCCCGCCACCCACCTCCCCCCCCCCGTCACCCTCCAATGCCTCCGCCCCTTCCCCTGCGCCGTCATCCTCCCCAGCTGCTCCTCCCCCGGCCCCCCCTCCGCCGCCCCCGCCTCCTGCCCCTCCTGCATCTGCATCTGCTTCACAGCCGTTCCTCTCCTCCATCCAGGTGAGCAAGTGCTGTGCTGCTGCTGCCCCACATGCCCCACATGCCCCACATGCCCCACATGCCCCACATGCCCCATATGCCCCACATGCCCCATATGCCCCACATGCCCCACATGCCCCATATGCCCCATATGCCCCATATGCCCCACATGCCCCACATGCCCCACATGCCCCACATGCCCCACATGCCCCATATGCCCCACATGCCCCACATGCCCCACATGCCCCATATGCCCCACATGCCCCATATGCCCCACATGCCCCACATGCCCCACATGCCCCATATGCCCCACATGCCCCATATGCCCCACATGCCCCACATGCCCCACATGCCCCACATGCCCCACATGCCCCACATGCCCCACATGCCCCATATGCCCCATATGCCCCACATGCCCCACATGCCCCACATGTCCCACATGCCCCACATGCCCCACATGCCCCACATGCCCCATATGCCCCACATGCCCCACATGCCCCATATGCCCCACATGCCCCACATGCCCCACATGCCCCACATGCCCCACATGCCCCACATGCCCCACATGCCCCACATGCCCCACATGCCCCACATGCCCCACATGCCCCACATGCCCCACATGCCCCACATGCCCCACATGCCCCATGCCCCACATGCCCCACATGCCCCACATGCCCCACATGCCCCACATGCCCCACATGCCCCACATGCCCCACATGCCCCACATGCCCCACATGCCCCACATGCCCCACATGCCCCATATGCCCCACGTGCCCCATATTAACCACGTTGCCCTCCTGCCCACGTGGCCTGGCTCCTGTGCGTGCGGCCGTGCTACTGCTCAGATGGTGGACCGGCTGGAAGCCAGGGGCCTCACCACTCGCGCTGCTGCTGTACGCTCACTCACACGTCTTGCACACTTCCCCCTCACCCGCTTCCCACTCACTCATGTCGCCCTCTCTCACGTCACCCTCACTCACTCACATCAACCTCACTCGCTCATGTCGCCCTCACTTACTCACGCTCTTCTCCCTCGCACAACTTCCAGTGAATTCAAATCAATTGCTCAGTCAGCTTGGAAGATCTATCTTGCTTGCTGCTGCATCCCAGTAGTGCCTGCCCTCTCCTTCACCCCCTCTCCTTTCTCTTCTTCCACTCCCCCTCCACCCCCAACAACCCCCTCCCTCCCCCCCCCCCCATCCCGTGTGTCGCCCCCTCTCCTACCCCTTCTTCCACGCATTGTACCAATCCGGGCTTGCCCTGCCCGCTTCGCACTCCTGCATTGCATCCCCCAGGCGAAGGCAGTGGGGGTGTCAGCAGCGGCAGCAGCAGCGTCGCAGGGTGTGGTGGCGGATGCAGATGCGTCCCTGCGTGCAGTCATATGGCCGGGAGGCATCACAGAGGTGGGTGGGTGGGTGGGTGGGTGGGTGGGTGGGTGGGTGGCTCTGTCTCTCTCAACCAGCAAGGCACGTGACCTGGGAGTTGTGTTGCGCGCACTTGCTTAATGCGTTTGGTTTGTGCTGTCGATTGCGGTTTGAGGAAAAAGGGGAAAGGGATATAGTGTGCCTTTTCTTCCTATGGTGTTTGTTTTTGTGTGTGTGTGTGTGTGTGTGTGTGTGTGTGTGTGTGTGTGTGTGTGTGTCTAAGTTGGAAAAAAACGCAAGTTTGACGTTGCGTATTGAGTTTATACGCATCTAAAATTCGTACGCTGCGTATTTTTCTAAAATTCGCCAAATTTCTCTCGGGCTGACCGGGAAAAAAAATCAGTTATGTTCGCGAGTATCGGAATTCAGATTTGAGATCGCGAATTGCAAATGCAACCTCAGATCTGAATTTCGAAACCGTTTGGTGAATCGTCCCCTCCTATCAACCGCTCAACAACCCATTCCAACCACATCGATTACCAATGCCTTCCAATTTTGTTGCCAAGCCAACTTCAACCAGACTCATCCTCCCCGCTCAATGTCAGGCCGTTTTTCCCTTCGATCCCCTTCTAATTTCACTTGCGACGATAACCTACTACAGCAGCTCCCGTTCCCGTCTCTTGACCTAGCATCTTAACCTGCCCGGGAGAAGAATTTAGCTGCCCGGGCAAGCGTTTTTCTGTGCGTACCAGACCCCCTCCGGCCAGCGTACTGCGTATAAACTCTAGCGTTTATACGGAAAGCGTACTAAACGCGAAACACGTTTTTTCCAACATAGGTGTGTGTGTGTGTGTGTGTGTGTGTGTGTGTGTGTGTGTGTGTGTGTGTGTGTGTGTGTGTGTGTGTGTGTGTGTGTGTCTGTCTGTGTCTCTGTCTGTGTCTGTGTCTGGGTGCGTGTGCGTGCGTGCGTGCGTGTGTGTGTGTGTGTGTGTGTGTCTGTGTGTGTGTGTGTGTGAGAGAGAGAGAGTGTGTGTGGGTGTGTGTGTTTTATTTCCTTTCTTGCTTTGCCAACTCAAGAAACGCTGGGGGGGTGTATCCGTTCTGGAGAATAAAAAAGTAGCACTTATTCCAAGGGGCCACTCACTCCCAGTCTTCAAATCCTCCCCTCCCTTGCCTTGGTTGGAGCCCTGTCGTCAGTACTCCTTTTCTTGAGCCATCTTGATCCCTTTGTGTGTGTCAACAACCCTTGCTTCTTCTCCAAAGTTTGCCCTGTCCCCACTTTTCTCCTCCCTCTCCCCCCGCCCGCTCTTCCGGCCTGCTCTGCCCGTCCCCTCTCTCCCCGCCCTCTCTTCTCGTCCCCTTTCCCCTCGTCCCCTCTCTGCCCGTCACCTCTCTCCCCGCCCTCTCTTCTCGTCCCCTTCCCCTCGTCCCCTCTCTGCCCGTCACCTCTCTCCCCGCCCTCTCTCCTCTTCCCCTTTCCCCTCGTCCCCTCTCTTCACGTCCCCTCACTCCCCACCCTCTCTCCCCACTCTCTCTCCCCACCTCTCTCCCCATCCTCTCTCACCACGCTCTCTCCCCACCCTCGCCCCTCCCCAGGTACCTCTGGGAGCGTTCCCCAAGTCCTCTGCCCCTCTCCAGATCGCCGTGCCAAACAAAAAGGTAAGGCCAGAGAGGGAGAGAGGGTAAGCCACGTGAAAGAAGTGGATTTTTGAGATGTCTAAAAATAATAACTTCGTTCGAGTCCTCTGCCCCTCTCCAGGTCACTGTGCCAAACAAAAAGGTAAGGCCCGGGAGGGTAGGGGTGTCTCCTTGAGCCGGCGAAAAGAGTATTGTGTTTGTGCCACGCATGATGGTCAGGAGGGGGAAGGGAAGAACCTATAGATGGAATCGTTTAGGAGAGCGATATAGAGACGGAGGGAGAGAGAAATAGAGACGGAATGGCAGGCTCATAACTGGCCAGCTTGTTGCTCCTCCACCCGTTCCCCCCCAACCCCCACCCACGCTCCCCCTTCCCCTGCCCCTCCCCTGCTCTGCCCTGCCGTGCCCAGGTGCACCACGAGTTTGTGTTTGTGGGGGAGAGCAGCAACGGCACGTCGTCCAGCAACGACAAGTTCTCGGGCTTCTGTATCGACGTCTTCAAGTCTGCTGTCGCGCTGCTGCCCTACACGCTCTCCTACCAGTTTGTCGCGTACGGCGACGGCCAGACCCCGCCCAGTTACGATGCCATGCTCTCTGCAGTCGCAAATAAGGTGTGTTGGGATTAATGTGTGTGGTGCTGCTGCCCTACACGCTCTCCTACCAGTTTGTCGCGTACGGCGACGGCCAGACCCCGCCCAGTTATGATGCCATGCTCGCTGCTGTTGCCAATAAGGTGTGTTGCCAATAAGGTGTGTTGCCAATAAGGTGTGTTGCCAATAAGGTGTGTTGCCAATAAGGTGTGTTGCCAATAAGGTGTGTTGCCAATAAGGTGTGTTGCCAATAAGGTGTGTTGCCAGTATGGAATGTTGGCTCGTTATTGGCATTCTGTGAGTTAGAATCACACGGGTGGAAGCAAGGTTGTCCTGGCTTTCATGGCTGCGGCTCGTCAATGCTTTAGTCTTGGCTCAACTTGCATGGATGAATAACCTCTCTTCCCTCCACCCTCTTCCTCTCCTCCCTTTACCCTCTTCTTCTCTCCCTTCCCACTCGTTCTCTCCCTTCCAAACAATCCATCCCTCTCCTCTCCTCTCCTCTCCTCTCCGCTCCTCTCCTCTCCTCTCCTCTCCTCTCTTCTCCCCTCCTCTCCTCTCCTCTCCTCTCCTCTCCTCTCCTCGCCTCTCCTCTCATCATCTCTTATCCATCCCAACCGCCCCACATGCGGGGAGAGCAGACGTACGATGCCGCGGTGGGGGACATCACAATCACATCCGACCGAGCCCTGCTCGTGGACTTCACACAGCCCTTCGAGGTAACCACCCACTTGCTCCAGGTGACTTTTCAGTCGATTCAAAAGTCACCTCGTTACAATTGCACACGACACATTTCCTCCCGCTCCCCGTTTCCCCGCCCTTACGCCGCCGCCACTTCCATCCCGTCCCCACTCCCATCCCCATTTCTTTCCCCACTCCTTCGCTTCGCATTCCCCCTTGTGCCATTCGCAACACATGGCCGTTCCTGACGCCCCGCCACCCCTCTGCCCCTCACACCCTCCCTCTTCTCTCCCCTCACAAAATTCCCCTTTCCGCATCCTCCCCTCCTTACTCCCTGTCCCCTCATGCACCCGCCCACCCACCCACCCTGCCCGCCCACCCACGCGTCTCGCCCATTCTCTCCCCCGCATCTGGCAGTCCTCGGGGCTGTCCTTTGTGGTGCCGTGCCGGTGCAGCGGGCGGCGCCCAACACGTGGGCGTTCCTGGCGCCGTTCACCCCTCTGCCTCTCACCACTCCCTCTCCCCCCCGCATCCTGCAGTCATCTGGCCTGTCCTTCGTGGTGCCAGTGCAGCGGGCGGCGCCCAACACGTGGGCGTTCCTGGCGCCGTTCACCCCTCTGCCTCTCACCACTCCCTCTTCCCTCTCCTTAGAAGCTTCCCGGTTCTCCATCCTCTCATCCCCTTCCCTCACCCCCCCTGTTTCCCCTCCCCCGACCCACCCCCCACACTCGCCCACCCATACTGCACCCCCGCCTCTCATCCTGCAGTCATCTGGCCTATCCTTTGTGGTGCCGGTGCAGCGCGCCGCACCCAACACGTGGGCGTTCCTGGCACCGTTCACCCCGGGCATGTGGGTGCTGCTGTACGTGTCCTTCTTCTACACTGCGCTCGTCGTCTGGTTCCTCGAGCACCTGCAGAACGAAGACTTTGGCGGCAAGCTGCACCAGCAGCTCGCCACCAGCGTCTGGTGCGTGTGGGGGGGAGGGGGGAGGCGGTGGGGGATGGGGGGTGGGGGGTGAGGCGTGGGGGATGGGGAGAAGTGGGAGGGGGGAGGGGAGTGGGGAGTATTTGTGGGCGTGTGTGGAAGCTGTTTGAGAGCGAATGGGGAAGTGAGGATACATGCAGGGCGAGGAGTATGGAGGGTGTGCGTGTGCGTGCTGGGAAGTAGGACGGAACGAGTCGTTTAGAAAGGATGCTGTGAGCGAGGTGGTGAGCGAGGTGGTGAGTGAGGTGGTGAGTGAGGCAGATGTGCCGTGCCTAAATCAACTTGCTGTTGTTGTGCCGGTAAACCTGCAAATTTTCTCTTGTCTCTCTCATCTGCTCTTGCTCTATCTCTTGCCTTCTTTTCTTTTATACCTTCCTCAGCTCCTCCCTCCTCTCCTCTTGCCCCCATTTCTTCCCCCTTTTCCCCCCCACTTCCTCCCCCTTTTCCCCCCACCCTCTTCCTTGTCCCCCTTCCTCTCCTCTCCCCACCTTCCTCTTCCACTCCCGGCTCCTCCTCATGAGCAGGTTCTCCTTTGCCACCATGACCTTCTCTCATGGTACGCGCTGCCTGCCCTGCCACCATCCTGCCACCATTCTGCCACCATTCTGCCACCATTCTGCCACCATTCTGCCCATCCTTCTCTTCCCTTGTCCTCTCTTCCCCCACGCACACTACTCTCCTTTCTGCCCTTTCCCATCTTTCTTTCCGCTTCTATCACTCGCTCACACACTCTCTGTCACAGTCGCTCTTGCTCCACCCTTCTTTCTTTCTTCACCCTTTTCTCTTGTTATCCACCCTCCTCTCCTTGCTTCACCCTGCTCCCTCCTTCTCACCCCTCACCCCTCCTCCCTCCCCCCCTCCTCCTTCACCACACCAGAGGAGCAAGTGCGCACGACGCTGGGTCGCACAGTGGTGATCGTGTGGCTCTTCGTGGTCTTTGTCATCTCCTCTGCCTACACTGCTAGTCTCTCCTCTGTTCTCACCGTCAGCCAGTCCGAGCCCACCGTCTCCGTACGTCCTACCCCACCCCCACCCCCTTTCCCCCCGCCCCGTCCTCTCTCTATCTCTCCCTCGACTCCCTTTTTCTCGTGCCTTTCTTCCCTCATGGGTGTATCATGTTCAGTTAGTCGTGCCATGCCATGGCTATTCTCATTCCCATGCACATGCCCACGCACATGCCCACGCACATGCACATGCACTTGCACATGCACTTGCACATGCACATGCATGACTATGCACTAGGTTGTACGACTCCCCATGAAACTCCACCATCTCATCTCTTTCCTGAATCGCCCCGTCTCCTCCTGCCTCCGCCGCCGCCGCCGCCGCCGCCGCCCCCGCCACTGCTGCTGCCACCACTGCCGCTGTGAGCAGGACTTCACAGCGCTGCAGCAGGGCAACCAGACCGTGGGATACAGGGCGGGCTCCTTCACAGCGGCGTACATGCAGGGCGTGGGCATCAACGAGGTCAGCTGCTGCTGCCTCCCACTCTCTCCCTCTCCTCTCTGCCTTGACACGCTGATGCTCCTCGCTGTGCCCGTGTGGCACTGCCCGGAGATGATTTTTTGGTCGACTCAGATACCTTGGTTGCACTGGAAAAGCTCCACTCCTTGCCCACCTTGCGCCCCCTACCTATACGACACACTCTGTGCAAGCAAGTGCGTCCATGTGCAGTTGAAAGTGTGCAACTTGCCAGGTCTGATTCCGAACTCAAGTGTGCCACCAGCCTACCCTGCCAAACAGAACAGAAACCTCACTTTCCCTCACCTCACCTGACATCCTCCACCTCCCGTTTTCCCTACCACTTTCCCTCATACCATAAGGCACCTAAGAAGCCGACCCATCATCTCCCTTCCCTTCTCCCCCTCCTTCCCCATCCCCCTATCTTTTTGCCATCCTTCCCCCGCCCTTCCCTCCCACCTACCCCCTTCCCAGTCGCGCCTAGTGGCCATAGACCCGGAGGGGGACTGGGAAGCGGTGGTGCAGGAGCAGCAGGTGGCGGTGGTGGTGGACGAGGAGCCCTACCTCGACATATTCCTCTCCGACCACTGCTACTACACCAAGCCGCCTCACGCCTTTGCCACCTTCAACTTTGGCTTCGTGCGTCGTCTGCTCTCGCTGCTCTTGCTGTTTGCCTTTTGAGTCGACTCAGAAGTCAGCTTTGTGCGTCTGTTTCTATCGCTGATCCTGCTGCTCTTACTGTTTGCCTCATGGGCTAGCAGTGGACAAAGAATCTCATGCCCTGCCTGTTTCCCTGGTGGTTTCTCTCCCTCCCTCTTTCCTCGCCCGCGCCCTCCGTGAATGCTCGTTGCACACGTGACACGCACCCCTGAAAATTCACGTGTCCCCGTTCATCGACACTACCTATCTGTCCTTCCCGCACTCCCAAACACCACTACCCGCTCTCTCGCACTACCTCCCACCCTCTTTGATCACCACCGTTGCTCCCATGACTGTGCCTCTGTGTGCTGTGCTCTGTGCTGCGCCACAGGCGTTCCAGAAGGGTTCATCTCTGACAGAGGACCTGTCTCTGGCGATAGAGACCCTGGCACAGACCCTTTCCCCACGACTCGCTCTCCCCAACCAATCTTCCCCACCACTGCTCTCTCTCTCTCTCTCTGCTCTCTGCCACAGGCGTTCCAGAGGGGGTCGTCTCTGACAGCGGACCTGTCTCTGGCGATAGAGACCCTGGCACAGAACGGCCAGCTGCAGTCTCTGCATGACCTGTGGCTCCGGGTAAGTGACTCTCGCATGCACACACGCACCCACGCACCCGCTCAGGCGCACATATAGGTAGGCAGACAGGCAGACAGGCACACACGCGTCCTCTTTCAAAATCCGTCTTTGAGGCGCCTCAAGAACGCATCCTCTTTCAGAATCGTTCACTTTGCTTGCAAGGAAGGTTGTTGTTGAAAGCTCTGCCTTCAGTTCTACCCAGGACCATTCTTGCACCTCCTCTCTCACCCTCGTCAACTCCATCCTTCCCCCCCACCTGCCCCCTACCCTTCGTTGTTTTGTTCCCGCTCCTCCCACCTTGCTTCCTCCATCTCCCCCTCTTCCACCTCCCCTCCTCCAGGGCAAGGGCAGTTGCAGTGCGGGGTTGGAACTAGAGTCAATGCGCCTGGGCCCGGACTCCTTCTGGGGGCTTCACTTCTCGGTCGACTCAACCCCCCCACCTTTCACCCCCACAACCCCACCCACCCCCCTTCTCCTCCCACACACACACTCACCCTAGGGCAAGGGCACGTGCAGTTCAGGGCTGGAGCTGGAGTCGATGCGCCTGGGCCCGGACTCCTTCTGGGGGCTCTTCCTGCTCTACTTACTCTCTGCTATGGGCACCTGCCTGCTCTACGCCGCTCTCCTCGTGTACCGTGGCCTCAAGGCCTTCCGGTGGGTGCTCTTGCTCCTCCTCTCCTCCTCCATGCGTGCTGCTCAATGCTCATGCACACACTCATTCTCAGACATCACGTGCACGCACCTGCCTGTCTGCTCTACGCTGCTCTCCTCGTGTACCGTGGCCTCAAGGCCTTCCGGTGGGTGCTCTCCCCCTCTCCTTCTCTCCCCCTCTTCTCCTCTCGTCTTCTCCCCCTTCTCCCCCTCTCCTCCTCCCTCCCTCTCCTCCTCTCCTCCATCCATGCTGCTGCTTATGAGGCATCTCCGAAGCATGCTCCGTCCGTCTTCAGGCTCTTTTAGAAACGAATTCACTTTCACGCAGCACCAGCACCTTAGAATACCCCACAGTATGCCACCCAATACCCTCCTCACCCCCCCTCACTCCTTGGCTGCAGGCTAGCGCAGCAGCAGGCAGCCGCAGAGAGGGCGGCGGCAGCGGAGCAAGAAGGGCAGGAGGGGGAACTTTTGAGGCGCCTCAAAAATACCCTCACCCCCCCTCACTCCTTCGCTGCAGGCTAGCGCAGCAGCAGGCAGCCGCAGAGAGGGCGGCGGCAGCGGAGCAAGAAGGGCAGGAGGGGGAACTTTTGAGGCGCCTCAAAAATACCCTCACCCCCCCTCACTCCTTCGCTGCAGGCTAGCGCAGCAGCAGGCAGCCGCAGAGAGGGCGGCGGCAGCGGAGCAAGAAGGGCAGGAGGGGGAACTTTTGAGGCGCCTCAAAAATACCCTCACCCCCTCACTCCCCCTCACTCCGCCTCACTCCCCCTCACTCCCTCTCTGCAGGCTAGCGCAGCAGCAGGCAGCCGCAGAGAGGGCAGCGGCAGCAGAGCAAGAAGGGCAGGAGGGGGAAGCCCCGTACGCTGTGGGAGTGACGCCAGTCCGTGCTCCTGTCAGCAAGCCCAGGCGCCTCAAGAGCCGCGTTCGCCACTACAAGAGTGCTTACACTGCGGTGAGAATAGAAATGGAGGAAGAAGGCAACAGGGGGAGGATGATTCAGAGAGGCCGAAGGGGGGGGAAAGGGCGGAAGTGGGGAAATGGAGGAAGGGGAGGGGGAAAGGGAGGTGGGAACAAGGATCTGAGAAAGAGGGATGACACTGGGATGCGGCGGATAGGGGGGTAGATCAGGATGGGAGGGGGCCTCCTCATCCTCCTCCTCCTCCTCCTCCTCCTCCTCCTCCTCCTCCTCCTCCTCCTCCTCCTCCTCCTCCTCCTCCTCCTCCTCACTTCTGTGCTGCTCCTTCCTGCTGCCCTCCCATCCCAACCATCCCCCTTTCCCCACTTGCCCAAATCTCTTCAAACTGATGCTTTTGTAACAGAGTGGAAGGATGCTCGTGCTGAAGCGCCTTAAAACTGAAGCTGCTTCCTGATCTCGTGTTGTTGTTTCCTCTGCAATCCCCTTGCTCCTGTGCCCGCACTCCTGTCCAGTGCATGGGGTAAACCATGCAACTCATCATGGGAGTGACTTTTGAGGCGCCAAGTGATAAAAGTGATGTTTTGAGACGTCTCATGGGACAAAATATCACTTTGATCACGTGGGGTTAAACCATGCAGCTTATCGTGGGGTGGACTTTTTGAGGCGCCTCAAAGATCTCACTTTCTCCCTTCCTTCCTCACTCCTTTGCCCCTGCGCCCGTGCTGCCGTTCAGGGAGTGGAGTGGAGCATGCAGCGCAACATCGGGGTGTCCTCCTCCACACTCCACGGGTCCGACAGCAACCCCTCTATGCACTACGATGTCTCTCACATCACCTACTCCTCCACCACCCCCACCGGGGACGGCCTTGCCACCGACCCTGCCGCTGCTGATGGCGCTGCTGCTGCCGCTGCCGCAGGTGCTGGTGGTGGTGATTCTGATGGGTCGGACGATGGTCGTGGGGAACGAGAGGCGGGCGAGAAGGGTTCGGCGGGGCTTGGGGATTCATTGGATGAGCAACTGAGGGAGCTGAGGCAGAGCCAGTTCACTCGCAGCGGGTCGACTTTGTAATGGCATGGCATGGCATGGCATGGCATGGGATGAGGTCATTGAAGGGATGGTCTTGGCTTGGAACAATTATAAAGTGGCTGTGATGTGATGTGATGTGATGTGATGTGATGTGATGTGATGTGATGTGATGTGATGTGATGTGATGTGATGTGATGTGATGTGATGTGATGTGAGGTCGGGTCCTGCCAAGCCAACTGGTCTCACTAAGCTTGGCAGTGTGGCTACACACTCCAGTATTGCTGCATGGTACGGTACCGTCATCGCCCGGATATACGACATATATGTCTTATCTTATACACTAGAAAAAATGCTTGGGTTGTCTTGTAATTGGGGTGGTTTAGGGTGTCTTATAATTCTTATAATGGACAAAGAACCGTTTAGAAGATACCCCCTAGTCATAAGATTACCCCTAACCCCTACACTGGCTTAACTCGTACACACCGACAGGTGTCTTATAATCAGGAACACCCATTTATAAGATACACCCGTTTTAAAGACACCCCGTCTTCAATTCGACAGTCTTACATCCGGGCGATGACGGTATTCCCCCATAAGGTTTTCCCTAGATGAGTTCATACCGTACAAAAGGCCTTCTATCAGATTGAATTCAAGCGGTGTGAGTTTTTTTGTTACTTTCTATTTTTCACTTTCCTACGTCAGATTATGATACAGTACGGTAGCCCTCACAATTTGAGAGTGTGGGGTGGAAGGTGGACAAAAAGCTCCACCACGGCCCAAATGGTCAGCAGTATCGTCATTGCCCGGGTACACAGGTGTGCTTAGAATGAAAGTGGCAGGTTGCACAATGAGTGTGCCGCGTTATCGCGGTCGTGCCGTATGCTTATTGGTTTTGTTGAACCAAAACTCTGGACGCCAACGGCTGGATTGCTACTAATCTAATGTACAGTAGGTAGCAGAATTAGGGTATTTCTTCCTCAGCGAGCGCAAAGCTCATAAGCGGGGGTGCTAATTATCGAACACCTTATTTTTTCACGAAACACAAGGTCAACACTGCAGTTTATTAGATTAGCAATATATTTATACAGGACAGCAAGTTGTAACTTGTAGGTATGTGAATGGAGCTACCCAATATGTACAGCTGATGTGCACAGCCCGTGAGCAGAGCCTAAGTGTGAAGCCAAAAACAGAACACACCTTACTCCTCCATCAAACTACCACCCTTGTTGCTGCAGGTTTGGTACATATGCATGATGGGGGTATGGTATGGACGGTCGACAATCCATGTTCTGTTAATAACGTGCTGCAGTAAGTCTGTAAAGGGGTGGGCTGTCAGAATCCAATCTGTGCAGTGCACTATTTGCTATAAGAAAAGCGTACCGTATGTTTAGAAGCCATGACATGGCCTTTTATCTTGGCACACAGATAAAATTGCCTCCAACCGTGCTGGCACATCTCTCTCCATTGTAAACCTGAAACGCATCGTCCCGGCTCATAGTTCCAGCGTTGGCATAGAAGCGGTAAGCACCGGAACACGTGAGCGATGGCGACACCGACCGGGCCCGGCCCTTGGTGCACTTGCCAAGCTGAAACGACCAGTACTCTGCCCTGAGGCACACCTGGGGTAGCAAAGAAGCAGGCGCAGGGAGGAAAAGAATGCTCGGAGAAGGGATGGAAGACAAAGCAAAGCTTCAATCAACAAGGATACATATAATGCATTATAGCCTTAGCCTGAAATTGATGCACTCGACCTAAGCCCCTCTGCTACCAAACTCACTCACTCACTCACTCACGCAATGCCCCTCCACTCCCTCTTCCTCGCTCCCTTCCACCTGTTTCTACCCCTCAATTTTCCACCAGTTCCTCTCCCCCTTCTCCCCTCCCTCCACCACCTTCCGCCCCTCACCTGCACGCCAATGTTGCTGCCAACAGCCGAGACAGAGCCAGGGACGGTGTTGGAGCAGACAAGGCCGGGGTTGTTGCGGTAGAGCTCAGCCCAGGAGGAGGGCTCGACCTTCTCGCTTCCTGACCCCTTTAGCAGGCGCTCACACGTGTCCTGCACTGTGAGAGTGGCGTACTTGACACACTTGGGGGCCGTGTAGGCATAGCTGGCGTTGCGCTCCACACAGATAGAGCGGCCGGGCTTGATGGTCTGGGTGCAGTCTAGACCGGGGTTGAGAGCCATGAGTTTGGCTTTGGTGATATCCATTGAAGACGCGATTGACAGACACTTGTCGCCCTGGTGGGGAGAGAGAGAGAGAGGGAGACAGGCAGAGAAGATATGAGTTTTGAGGCGCCTCAAAACTCAAGTCAAGGCGGGGGTTGAGAGCCATGAGTTTGGCTTTGGTGATTCCATCGAAGAGGTAATGGACTGACACTTGTCGCCCTGGTGGGACGAGAGAGAGAGGGAGACAGGCAGAGAAGAGATGAGATAGGGTGTGAGATGGTGGGAGATGGAGAGAGATGGTAGGAGATGGAGAGAGATGGTAGGAGAGGGCGGGATGTGGTGTAAGGCTTCTCTTCAGTAGTGAGTTCGTGGTGATGATAGAAGCATGAGATGCATGTGCAATGCTGATGTGAGCAGCTGATGCGAGCAACTGATGTGAGCAGCTGATGTGAGCAGCTGATGTGAGCAGCTGATGTTAGCAGCTGATGTGAGCAGCTGATGTGAGCAGCTGGAAAACAAGGCAGCGAGGCTGCATGGAGAGACCAGCTTCCGCTCCATACCTCGATAAGGCAAAAGAAAGAACAAGTGCATGGCTCGGAACTTCTGAGAAAAAAACTCATCCCCCACTACTTGAAACACACTTTGTGCAGGGAGATGGGTGCTGATATTTGGCTGGGAACTGAGGTCTCACATCGAGGGTGTAGAAGAATCCCGTGCAGGGGATGGCCGGAGTGCCGGCGATCTGAAGCACCGCCCCTTTTGGGCAATGGCTGGGAGCAGACGTTACCCTGCATTGGAGAGCACAGGCATGGGCATGGGCACGGGCATGGGCATGGGCATAAATTGGGCATGGCAACTCAATCTCCTGCCACGGGCAAAAGCCCTAGTCCTGCTTGTGCTATGCGTGCTGCCCTGTCATGCATGCTGTCCTCCCATTCTCGCCTCCCATTCTCGCCTCCCATTCTCGCCTCCCATTCTCGCCTCCCATTCTCGCCTCCCATTCTCGCCTCCCATTCTCGCCTCCCATTCTCGCCTCCCATTCTCGCCTCCCATTCTCGCCTCCCATTCTCGCCTCCCATTCTCGCCTCCCATTCTCGCCTCCCATTCTCGCCTCCCATTCTCGCCTCCCATTCTCGCCTCCCATTCTCGCCTCCCATTCTCGCCTCCCATTCTCGCCTCCCATTCTCGCCTCCCATTCTCGCCTCCCATTCTCGCCTCCCATTCTCGCCTCCCATTCTCGCCTCCCATTCTCGCCTCCCATTCTCGCCTCCCATTCTCGCCTCCCATTCTCGCCTCCCATTCTCGCCTCCCATTCTCGCCTCCCATTCTCGCCTCCCATTCTCGCCTCCCATTCTCGCCTCCCATTCTCGCCTCCCATTCTCGCCTCCCATTCTCGCCTCCCATTCTTCACCTGCCCCTCTTGCCAGCCTCTCACCGGGTTTTGCAGGGCGAAATGCGAGGAGGAGAGCCCCACGAGGCCAGACAAGTCCGCGCACGCCCACTTGTCACCGCTCACTGTCAGGCTCGTGACCGTTTCGTTGGCTGGGAGGAGGGGGGAGAGTGGTATGGTGGAAACAGGGGGCAGGGCAGGTGTGCGGGGAGGGAGATCAGTTGCGTGTGCATATTGTGCACCAGCACGCACGAGAGATTCCCTTATGAGGTTTTCTTTGTCCAGTCTCGAAAGCACCCTGCAAGTCATGAAAATGGAACTAAGAGAGGAGTTGCGCATTAAAGGCATCGTTTAGTGCAAAATAGTGCTAGTGAGAGACAGAGAGAGTTGGCATTGTCGCATTGCACTCCAACTCCAACTGAAAGATGGAAGCGGGCGTGTGACTTGGCATTTCTGACCATGGCACCATTGTCATGAAAGGAGGAGGACAGCGGTGCTTAGGTGCAGTGCAGCAGTAGAAGGCCAGAGGCTAGAGCGAGCCTTGTTCTAGCAAGGAGTCGGAAGAGTCGGTTTAGAGGTGCACGTGGGCGGCAGGTGGGAGGGAGCAACCACTGACAGCACATGGGTGGCAAGTGGGGGGGGAGGGAGCAGCACTGGAACCGCACCTGGGTCGCAGGTGGGGAACGAGCAGTGTTTGCCTGTACCTGGGTCGCAGGTGGGGAAGTTATCGATGGTTCGGCTGGGGACGTGGTTGGGAGGGCGGATGCAGGAGTAGGAGCCCTTGCCATCGTTGATGCATGTGCCCACGGCACAGGGGTTCTTGAAGTACGACCCGCACACGTCCACTGCCATGCCGGGTAGAGGGGGATGATGGGGGGGATGAAGGCAAATATCAAGTATGGCCCACACACGTCCACTGCTATGCAGGGTAAGAGGGGCGACAGTGGAGGATGAGGAGGGGGCTAAAGGCTAAGAGATGCTTCAAGTACGACCCGCACACGTCCACTGCCATACCGGGTAATTGGGGTGGAACAGGAGAACGAAGGGGGGCTAAAGGCTGAATTATGCTTCAAGTATGACCCACACACGTGACACGTCCACTGCCATGCATGGTAAAAGGAGGGTGGTGGAGGGGGATGAGGAGTGGGCTAAAGGCTAAAGCGGTGCCTAATGCACAAACCACACGCATCGACTGCCACAGTGCCACCGGTAGTGCACAGTGGAGGGGATGAAAGGAAAAAAGGCGAGTACCGGTCTTTGCACGGGACGATTGCATTGCATGGGCAGAGGAAAATGTGGGTCCTGGTCATACTATACAGATACCCTAAACCCTAACCATGCACAGAAGCATGTCAGTCACTGCATTGCATTGCATGGGTCTACCTATCTCACCATTAGCGCATGCATTGCCGCAGTCATGGCAACCTACATGAAAGGCCGCCTGGGCGCAGAGGGGACTTTTTGAGGCGCCCCAAAAGACGACCA